GATTTCCATTACTTGCATCTGAAGAAGTGAGGTTCTTACCCACGAAAGCTTATGCTCCCAATACTTTCATTACTACAATAGTTATTTGCTACTATAAATGGGGATGCTCCTCCTCCCAGGCAGTCAGACTTCTAGTCAGTCCTTCCTACACTTGGCTGAGGCTGTATGGAATGGACAACTAACTTTGCTGTTGCTTACCTTTATTTTATATCATTTGCAACCCGTCTTTACCTTGTAATAGCATCAACGCTCACAAGCCCAGCAGTGCTTGGAGTCCCATCTACCAAGGGAGGTGTTGCAAGAAGTGAGTGTGGTGATTGTGGCTATTTGGCTTTCTTCTGTGCTCTGTTACTAGAAGTAGGATTTGAAAACCAGTGAGGTAAGTAAATTAGTTTTCCCCGGGCTGCCCAACCACTTCAGGCTTCCCTAGGGTCGCACCTTCACAACTGACTTAATTCTTAGGCTGCTAAAAGCAGATGCTCTGAAATATGGAGGCTCTTGCTGTCACTGTCTGACTGGCTATACTGGAGAGCAGTGTGTGAAACTGGAGAGTTAGTTTTATTGAGAACAGAAGCTGAATAAGTATAATGGACACTTTATTAAGAAAAGAACTTACTATGATGGTCAGGCAGGTTAATAGCAACAGTGCTTTGAAAAGGCACTTCTCGTATAAGCCCTTGCCATATACTTTCAAAAAAAAAAATTCCAAATCTATCTTGTTGGACTAAAATGTGTATCCTTATTTTCAGGGAGATAAAATTTTCTGAAACTTACTTTTATTTTTGTACAAGCTGATCATAAACTAACTACATGTGTACACAACCCTAAACTTGATTCTAAGTTAGTCAATATCTTGTTTTCCAAATTTGGTAGACAGTTCTCCCTGAAAAATACATCATTTGAAAAAGTGGCCAAGTGCCTCTATATTAATACCTGCTATCATCTACAGCAGTGTTTCTCAACCTTTTTGATACCAGGGACTGGCTTGCTCCCTTTCTTAAACTGTGTCAGTGAAATATCAGGGACCAGTGCCGGTCCACGGACCGGTCGCTGAGAAACACTGATCTACAGGCACTGGTGAGAGCATTGAGCTATCCAGCAACCTGGTTGTACTCACAGT